TGATGAATGCCCTTGTCTTAGTTTTATATTGCTACCCCAACAAATTACCTTAACAGTATTGACTTAAAAGAAAACAAATGTACTATTTTGTAGTTTCCATAGTCAATATGTTCAACAAAGGTGTTTTTGTTTTTATTCCCTAATATCTAGGTGTTCCAGGGCCATGGTCCTTACTGAAGACTATGGGGAAGAATCAACTTCCAAGTTCAATTAGCTCGTTGGTTTAATTCACTTTCTGATTGTTGTAAGGCTGAGGTCACCACTTCCTTGCTGGCTGTCAGTGAGGCATTATTCTTAGCTTCTTGAGGCTGCCCACAGTCCTTGATATGTGTCCTCTTTCTCCATCTTCAAAGCCAAAATGAGTTTACAAGGCTGAAAGTGATTACGTACCCACAAAGGACACATAGCCAAAGGTAGAGAAGTTGCATTTTGAAACTAGTACTATGGCACAAGAGTCCATGATAATCATTACTATATCATAAAAAATAATGCTGAGAAGCAAATCCTAGCACAACACTGAATGTTATAGACAAATCAAATAACACCACAAATCAGGAAAATTGCTAGTTCCCTATGATACAGCATTCACCAACATTAATTCCAGCAGTATGAAATAAAATATGTAAATGTAAAAATGATATTTTAAAAGTACTAGCTTTGGCCTCGTGTAGTGGCTCCCATTTGTAAAACGAACATTTTGGGAGGCCAAGGCAGAGGATCACTTGAGGCCAGGAGCTGGAGACCAGCGTGGGCAACATAGGAATATCCCATCTCTAAAAACAATAATAATTAAAAAATTAGTCTGCTGTGGTGAGATGTGCCTGTGGTCACAGCTACTTAGGAAGCTGAGATGAAAGGATTTCTTGGGTCCAGGAGTGTGAGGCTGCAGTGAGCTGTGACTGCAGCACTAAACTCTAGCCTGGAAAACAGAACAAGACTCTGTCTCAAACAACAACAAAAAAAGACAAAACGAACAACAATAAAACTGGTGTCTATCTCATCTTGGAATAATAAGTGCATAAATGGCTAAGAAAAAATACAGAACAAAAACAGCACTAACTTTGTGCACATTAAAGTTGTAAGTACTATATTTCCAAACCCATTATAAAGAGGGAAATCAAATCCTTGGGTAAAATTTCTTATTAAAATGGTACTATCAAAGCATTATCTTTTTCTGACAAACAGAATTTTCCCAAAACTTTTATTAGATCTCATACTCAAAGGTGAAATATTCCCTTTGAAGTCAGAAAGCACAAAAGCATGCCTTCCATCATTTCTTGGGTCCTGGTGAACCCATCATAGAGAGGTCCTAGTGAACCCAGAAAGTAAAAAATGAAGAAAAAAAAAGAAGTCAGACAGAAACAGAACTATCACAATTTACTGGCAAGAAAGTTGCTTGCAAACAACTAAGACAATATATACTAAATTAATATAAGAGTTTCACAAGTTTTCTAGTGTAACACAAAAGTCAATATTTGCAAATCAACTGCATTCCTAAATACTAGAATAAATCATTAGAAAAACTTACAGATAAAAAGGGGATTTTTCCTGTTACCTGTATTTTGGTTAAGGTATATGGAAAGATGGTAAGAAAGGCACAGTCACAGGCCAATAGGACCTTAATATTTTCCTCCATTTGACTAATCATGACACAGAATTTTTCTTGACTTTTGGCCCCTAATTTCTCTTCACTTAGAGCATTTCTTTTAGAAATCTTGTAATTGTACGTTTTCCCCATTCTTTAATATGTAGAATTTATTAATATCCTCTTGCTACTTTTACAACCCAAGAATGTCTTTCTCAGGAACCTGGGGGCTACCCTTTGAAATGTAATCTCAATCTTCCAGTTTCTGTGGGAGAGAATAAACCTGAGGTCAGTGTGAGCCTTACTCTGGATTGCAAAACTACTTTCTATCATGAAGATAAGAGAAAATTTACTTTTACTTTGAGTAAAGTCAATTAGCAAGCACAGGTGACCTAAGATTCCCCTACTCCAACTCTTAAAAATTTTCTAGTCTTTTATTTTAGCAATGATGAGCTCAGACTGAATTCTGGCCCGTTTCCACTATATCATGAATAGTATTCCTTGCATGTTTAGCTTGGACTGGTTCAATTTTTGCTTTGACATCACCCACGCATTAGAGAAGAAAGAAAAACCCAGAAGTTATAGAGAGTTTAGGAAAGTAATAAACAAGAAAGTAACAGTGAAAGAATATTCTCTTGGTCCAGGTCTTCAAGACAAGTCAGTCTTGAGCTAAGAAAATACAAAATCCATGAACTAAAAGTGATATATAAATTTTAAATTGAACTATACTCTGCCATATTGTAATATCTGAAAGCAAGACATAATTCCTGATTTAAAATTTGTTTCTGCTGCTGAAAGTGATGGCTTCTGTATTAGGAGCTATTCAGGAAAAAAGAAAAAGGGAAATTAAATTGTTTAAAGGTAGTGTTTGATAAAAATATGGATATTTCTTAATTGTACTATTTCTAGTTTGGTACATTTAATCAGGTATTTAAATAGTTTTTAAATAATGTATACCATTTACAGTATTAACAAGACAATAAGTACCTAAAATAACTAACAAAATATGTACGGGACTTCATTATAAAAGTAAATAATAATACATAGTATTAAATGATATTAAACTTAAAAAAATGGAAAAATATACTATAAATTTTATTATGGTACAAATTATTAGTATGTTAATTATCCCTAATTAGATCTTTAATTTTTGAAATTGAAATTAAAACAAAGTTTCCCCTACCTTTATAATTTTTTAATCAAAAAATATGATCCAGGTAGATAAATGTAAAAAGCAAAACTTATAGAATAAAATAATACAGGGAAACATTTTAGTCATAAAAAGTTAGGGATGACTTTGCAATGAAAGATATAAAAAACTACGAAGTCTATAGAAATAAGATTGGCGAAATTGACAACATTAAAAGTTCCTTTCTGACCCAGTCAGATGTAAGAGGCCTTTAACTGGATCCAATCCAGTTAATTTCCAGATCAAATCCATTCCTAGACCCAGTTCAGTTTCTGTAGTGACTCCAAACCTGGTTTGGGTCAGAAATTTGCTCAAAGAAACTCAGAGAGCTCAAAGCACAAATCCCTGGAGCTCTAAAATCTGAGAGGGAGTTTACCCCAAATCCCCAGCCACTTTGAGAGATCAATGGACACAAGTGGGTCCTGCAGATATCTTGCCTGTTCACTCAGCACTCATGGGGTTTACTAGAAGCTCCACTTTGGATCCTACTTCTGAGACCATCTGATAAAAGAAAAATTTTAGTCAATTAAATTTAAAGGAGTTTAATATAGCAATGAAGGATTCACGAATCAGGAAGCCCTCAGAATCACAGCAGATTCACAGAGACTACAGGGGTGCCTCATGGTCAGAAGAAATTTATAGACAAAAAGGTAAGGTGATATACAGGAATCAGAAGTGAGTCACAGAAGATGCAAGATTGATGACAGCTCAGTATTTGCCTTATTTGAATACAGCTTGAACAGTCAACAGCTTATGAGAAGTCAAAGTATGTCTGCTGTGATTGGCCAACACTCAGTGATTGTTACAAGGCATAGTATTAATTTAGGTTTTCAACTTTGACTAGTAAGCTAGGTTACAGTTCATCTGCAAGTACTCAAATACACAAGTATAGAGTCATCTCAGTCCACATTTAGCTTAACACCTGTTTCATCCAATTTTCTCTGCTGCATCATTTTCATTCTCTTTCATGTGTGCTGTATTTTTTATTCTGAATATAAAGTATACATTTTATCTTGAACCCATTTTCTTCATTTTCTTGCTCCCATGTTATTGCAAAATCTTTGAATGACTTTTATATCCTCGTCTGCTCTAATCTTACCTTCTCTTAAGCCCAATCCAATTAGACTTTTGCCACACAGACACCATGTTCATGACTTCAGTGTTGTTAAATCATCATCATATTTGACTCAACTATAGCATTTGTCACTGTTGTTTGTGCCCTTTGACTTCATTCATATTCTTCAAAGTTTCCTGATTTTCCTGATGTTGGTGACTTCTCTCTAAAGCCTCTAACAACTCCCCATTTTACTCTGAGTTCATATGAATGATCTTACTTTACCTTGAAAGGTCCATAATTCTGTCAATGCCCCACCACAGACATCAACTCTTAACACCATCCATTTTCATTTATTGCCACACAAATCATCACCATTTTGTCTCTCCACCACACCAGGCATGTTTCTGCCTAAAAGCCTTTGCTCCATATGGGAACATATATAGCAGACAAAATAATTGATGTTATTGTTACATAAACAGCTTCTAATATATATTTTCATTTAATTGATTATAAACCAAATGAAAACCATCAAGCACAATACTAGAAAATCGGTAAAAATATGGATACATACATCACAATAGGCCTGAAACTATGAAAATACCAAAAGAAAATCTAAGGAAAACTCTTCTGGACATTGGTCTAGGCAAATAATTTATGACTAAGACCTCAAAGCAAAGAAACAAAAACAAAAATAGACTAATGAGACTAAAAAGCTTCTGCACAGCAAAATAAATAATCAACAGAGGAAAGAGATGACCTGCAGAATGGGAGAAAACATTTGTAAACCATGCATCTTACAGGGGACTAATATCCAGAATATATTATAAAAGGATCTCAAACAACAGCATTAAAAATGCAAATAACCCCATTGAAAAGTTGGCAAAAAATATGAATAGACATTTTCAAAAGACATACAAATAACCAACATATGAAAAATGCTCTACATCATTAATTATTACAGAAATACGAATTAGAACCATCATGAGATATCATCTTACCCCAGTCAGAATGACTATTATTAACAACAACAAAAAACAGATGTTGGCAAGGATGTGGAGCAAAAGAAATGCTTACACACTATTAGCAGAAATCAAATTAGTACAACATCTATGAAAAACAGTAGGTAAGTTTCCCAAAGACACAACAATAGAACCACCATTCAATCCAACAATCCCACTAGAGGTGTTGATCGACCTATGCAATTTACGATCATTCGACTTTATGACCACAATCGCTAGCCACAACTGCTCCGCGTCTGGCAGTGCAAATGCTGCCCAGCTGGGCGTATGACAGTGCGGACCAGCTTCTGGCAGCACTGCCATCTCCGCGTGCACCATTTCAACTGTTATCCCAGACTCGGTACAGCAATTTGTGTTTTGTGTCTTGGATATTTTTCATCAAACCCCTCCCAATAAACTTCTTATACATTTCGAAGCAATGGACCCAAACATCGAATGATTTGCAAGGATTGAACGGATGGCGCACGATGTGTTTCGTCCCTATCGTGAAATTTATGAAGAAAAAAGGAAACATACAATTCAGACAAAGCTCACTGTTTATGAAAAAGCCAACTCCGGTAACCCCAACTGCTGCCTCAGATGACGACATCAACGATCCGCAGCCAAGCACCAGCGGCCAATAAAATGTTTCGTATATGTTTATATATTTTGATATGTTTTGCAATTGGGAAAATGTTTCCTATGGTATTTTTTACACCTGTATTTTGTATTTTTTATGCACCTGTATTTTGCAATTTTGTATGTTTTGCAAATATTAAACCAGTTGTACAGGTAATGCAGTGTTTTACTTAAACCTGACGAATGTAAAAATAAGAAACAAAATGGTGTAGAGATGATACAAATGGCATAAAATGAACAAAGAAAATTATGATATATAACAATAATGAAAGAAAATTATGATAAAATATGACAAAGATTTTTAAAACAGCATTTCACAGTACTGTACATATAGCCTACTCAACTTACGACCAAATCGTGTTATGACCGGTCTATCAGAACCAATCGTGGCCGTAAGTCGAGCACTAGCTGTACTGGATATCTATCCAAAGAAAAAGAAATCATTATATCTTAAAAATACCTGCTCTTATATATTTATTGCAGCATTGTTGATAATAGCAAAGATATGGAATCAACCTAATTGTCCATCAACAGGTGACTGGATAAAGAAACTGTCTCTCATAGATAGATAGATAGATAGATAGATACACACACACACACACACACACACACACATATGTATGTATATACACACAATGGAATACCATTTCATCTTTAAAAAGACTCAGATCTTCTTCAGCAACATGGGTGAATTGGAGGCCCTTAAGTGAGACAACTCAGAAACAGAAAGTCAAATACCACATGGCCTTATTTACAAATGAGAGCTAAATAATGTGTATATATGGACATAGAACGTGGAATAATAAACACCAAAGACTCAGAGGGGAGGGAGGATGGAAATGAGATGGAAATGTAATGGTTCCAGTGTACAATATTTGGATGATGGTTACACTGAAATCCCAAATTTCACCATTATGCAATACGTCCATGCAAAAAAACTGCACCTGTATACCTTAAATTTATGCAAATAAGACATAATTTTTGAATAAATGATTCCTGCGTATTTGTATAGTTTCCAATATTTCTCGGTATTAATTTATAGTTTTATTCCATTGCACTAAAATATGCTTAGTCTTACCCCATAAATATATATGCCTCCTACATACCCACAAAGATTTAAATAAAGAAAAAGAAAAAAATGCATAAATCAGCTGTAAGCATATGTACAAATGAACTGCTAGTGGCAGTGTAATTCTCATAATCTTTAGTGTTATTTAATACTTTCAATCAAGAGTCTCACATTTTTAGTAATATTCTTTAAACAATTTCTCCTTAAGTGTTATATGTTAAGGAAATAAATAACAATGAAAATTTTTAAAACATGCATTTTGTCACACAGTTATTGTTTATTTTAATCAAACATTGGACAGTTTAATTCAGTTAATTGTTAATTTCTAAATTAATAGTAATACAAAGTCTAGCAGCTCTGCAAATAGTGTTTTGCAGAATATTTAATGTTGAACAATATGAAGTGAAAACACAGAATACAAGTGTATATGTCTATGTGTATGTACATGTGTTTGTGTATGTATGTATACCACAATAAAGAAATATATTTAAAATTTTAATTATTATTATCTTCATGTAGTGGGATTGGTTAGAGTTTATCTTAAAATGTGTTCTTTATCTTTTACTATATTTTAAACATTTTGTAGTATGACTATTACTGGGTCTCATAATTTCATAATCAACAGTTTTTAAATTAATCTGTATTCTTTCAGGTTTTTAATGTTGTGTTAGAAACATGATGTAGATGGTTCTGAACTTCAATTAAAACTAAAAGGAGAGACTGGGCATGGTGGGTCACCCTTGTAATCCCTGTATTAATGGAGGCTGAGACAAGAGGATTGCTTGAGCCCAGGAGTTCGAGACTAACCTGGGCAACATAGTGAGACCCAGTCTCTGCAAACTAAAACATAAAAGAAACCCTCAAAAGCTAAAAGGAGAGAATCAAAACAAAAAGCAACCTCATCTACATTAGTAGATTTGCTTATTTTAAATCTTATGGAGACGTTATATCAAAAGGTTTTAGAGTAATGGTATATTTTATTAATATTTATGACATAGCATATTAATATTAACATTATGACATGATTGACTCAAGGTCATGAACTCATTTATTTATTTAAAAGTAGTTATTGAGCCACTAGTTTATGCTCAATATTGTTTTATATGCCAAGAATACAACAGTGAACAAGACAAATGTAGTCTCTGTGTCATGGAACTTCAACACTGATGGGCCCTGGATTCAAGCTCAACTTATTTGACTAAAAGCTCCCACGGTCTTTCATTACACTAAACTCCTTCTATAAAGTAAGCATTTTCTCATAAATCTAATCTGAAGCTTTATATTTTTTTCTCATGTGCTTTCATTTGTCCTCATATGAAGTGATTGATCCACTTAGCAAAATAACTCAGAATTTATATTCTTGGTAAATAATTCAATTAAAATCTAAATTGTGTGAATGGAATACTTCTCTTCTAGATATCAGTTTGCTGGTGACCACCTGCTTACACTGTACCTAGAAAGCTGCCAAACAAATATATTATTTCCAATTGGTGATAGAAAACACTTTCCAGGCTATTGCCTTCCGCATTGTGTTTCATCTAGGCATCAATTTTAATGAAATCATAATGTGCTTGGCACCAGAATATCATCTACCATCCAAGGATGTCCAAGTATGTAACAAACATCAATTAAGTAGAACAATAGTTCTGTAAGAGAGAACATCATTATCACAATTCTGGAATTGAATGGAATATAGAACAGGGGAAATAATGATGGAAACCCATTTTGAATTAAGCAGAGAAATGTAGATTGCAAAGTTGAGTAAGTTCAGTTCATTACCTTAGTTAAAAAGTAGTAAATGTTTTCTGAAATAGGTGGATACTGCTGTGAAAAAAAGGAAACTCAAATTCTGAACAGAGATGAATATCTCACCTCTTCATTTAATTCAGGATATAAATACTCTGCAATAATTGTTAAAAATTAGGCTTGGTTGGCAATTTAAGAAAACTGAAAGTACTATCTTTAAAGTAACAAAAAAGTCTCTAGTGAAAAATTAGTCCATTCAGGAAAGATTATTGTGCTAAAAATAGAGGTGACTAGTTGAAAGAAATACATAAATCAATTATTTTAAAAAAATATAACTTGAAAATAACTCAATATTTATAATATTCTGAGGTAAATTATGAGATATTTGCTTGTGAAACATGACACACTTTAAAATCTGATATATGGAACAAAGTATACACTGTCATCAAAGGAGGTTACTTACCAATAAATGAAAAAAATAAAAGAGATGTACGCTAGTTTAATAAAAATTTTCTGTGTAAAATTAGGCTCTAATGGCCGGGCGCGGTGGCTCACACCTGTAATCCCAGCACTTTGGGAGGCCAAGGCGGGTGGATCATGAGGTCAGGTGATTGAGACCACCCTGGCCAACATGGTGAAACCCCATCTTTACTAAAATTACAAAAAAATTAGTTGGGCGTGATGGCACACACCTGTAGTTCCTGCTACTCGGGAGGCTGAGGCAGGAGAATTGCTTGAACCCGGGAGGCAGAGAGTGCAGTGAGCCAAGATCGCGCCACTGCACTATAGCCTAAGCGACAGTGAGAGACTCTCTCTCAAAAAAAAAAATAATAATAATAAAAATAATTAGGATCTAATTACTGGATTAAAAAATCATTTAATCATTTTCAATTTGACATGGTAACATTCAATTCTTCAGTATCCAAGTCAGTGATATTCCTTATCTCACATAGGGTCAAAGAAAGAACTTCAGTACATTATCCGCACCCAGTGATTCTATTTATAAGAAAACGTGTCTCCTTTTGTTTATTATGAATTTTTGCTCTACTTAAGTATCTAATTTTAAT